CAATTAATAAAACAATTTTCGATATTTTCCGGACAGACCTCGTACAGTTCCCAATCTCAGGGGACCAGCACATGCTGAGGGGATTTGAACGAAAAATTATTCGAAGAATCTATGGAGCGGTGAAAATCAATGAAGAATGGCGAATTAGGAGCAATGAAGAAATAGAAATGATCCTAGAAAATGAAGACATCGTAAGGTTTATCAAATCGCAAAGGCTGAGCTGGCTAGGTCATGTACAAAGAATGAAAGAAGAAAGGATGCCGAAGAAGGTGCTGAAAGCTTCAGTATTGTCAGCAAGAAAGAGAGGAAGACCTGGGCTTCGGTGGCTAGACGGAATTGAGCAAGACCTGAAGAAAATGCAAATAAAAGGATGGAGTGTAAAAATCAAAGATAGAGGGATGTGGAGAGGGATTGTTATGGAGGCCAAAGCCCACCCGGGGCTGTAGCGCCGCTAGTAAATAAGTAAGTAAGTAAGAATTCTGTTTTCTCCGATTGTATGTTTCATACGTGTGAAGTACGTACGGGTCGCTAGTCTTTCATAATGTTGCAAAGGACAAAATGTGTGGCAAAGCAGATAGTGAAATGAGCAATGCTAAAGTAGGTGGCGAGTGATACATTGGGGGAAGGGGAAGGGGGTTCAGCGTCAGATTATGGTGGATATGAAGGATAATTAATAAATATTGGACGCAGTAGGTAATGTGTGTAAACCTTAACTATATCAGTGATTATCTAAGTATAAACAAACATATGCAACTTAAACTAAACACTTTTACTCTAAGCCATCCCTAGGGGATTTTTGCGTTTAAATGGCTTAATCAGAGACTACGGTTGCCAGCTCGAAGGGCTTGCGCCTTCTAAGCCTCCGTAGTTCCTCACTAGAAAGGGAGGAAATCAAAACGAACCAGGGAGAGCAACCTAGCTAATGTCCAAAATGACCCCTCCTTCTGGGTTCAGTCGTGCGGTATTCCATAAGCGTTCAGGCAAAACTAACTTCAAAGCTTCAATCTTCTCGGAGAGAGCGGCGATGGACAGCACTTCCAAATTATTACTTCTTACGGGTTGTTCTTCATTTGTTCTCGGTCCCTCTTCTTCCTCTCTCCTCTCTGGTCTCACCCAATGTGGAAACTGCCAATTGTG